TCTTCAGTGCTCATTTTCTGAAGTTGAAAACACTTATGCACGTGCACACATGCACACTAAACTTTGTCAGAGATGAAGTACTTCCAAATGGCACTTGACTGTGGTTAAAAGAATCCTGGCCTGATAGGTCTCATTACACAAGATGCCAGACCTAACTGTTCAAATGCTAAGAAAAGGAAACATCTTGGTAAAAAGTGGCTCACAGAAGTAGAGGTGACAGTTTATTGTATTTCTACATAAATGTATGCTGGATATACCATTTTAATAGAGAAATATAACAGAATTTCTTATTATAGAATATATCCCAGGAAAGTATCTATCATTTGACTTAAGATAAGAAATGTAAATCTGTTTGACTTATTGTCATGAGTTTTTTGGTCTAGAGTTATCTGTTTTCCCCTTCTAGTCATTATAATTTTCTAAAACAGTTCAGACAGTATTAAGCAGTTTTATTCTTAATGTCATTGGTAAATTTTATGTGTACTTTCAAGGCAAGCTATGGTTAATATTGTTATTTTACAATGTGGTTTTGAAAGTCTTCCAACACAGCTTAAAGTTACTCAACTCAGTTTTCACCCTCTAATTTCAGAGAGTATTAACAAGTCCATCCCATGGTTAAGTTTCCTACCCCTAGGTAAATCCCTCAAGGATTTATTATAACATCTCAGCCTTTAATTTGTGGGTCACATTCATGCTTATTCTTTATCATTCCAGCAAGAGAGTCTATTTGAGTTATATAGTAATATAATGAAGAAATTAATAGTTGTTGAAATAGAATAGATAGACTTGTAGGAACTTAAGATTGTAAGTCCAGGGTTTTGTAGATGGTAATTGCACTGTGTGTTTCAACTGGACTAGACTATTGTGACCATGGAAGTTGTAAACCTAGAAAGTTCTCTGCTTTTGCATTTTTTTTACCCAGCACAAATTTTGTCAAGTAGTATGTATCACAAGATACTGTGCAAGACCTCACCTCACACTAAAACATTTTATATAAAATAATCAAATTTGATTTTTATTATGTTGTTAATGATATGTTGACAGGGAGGGTGGAAATTTTTAATAAAAAAATAACATTTAACATCTTAAATAACAAGCCTATGTCATATTATGTGATATATCTATTAATAGTTGTCTTATTGCTAGATACAAGCATGTGACTCACTTTCATCCATCATTCTGTTCTGTGAAAATTAAGACGATTGCTTAATATGGTTTTATTTAAATGACAATACATGCTGAGAACTAATCTAACATTCTAGTGCCTGTAAAACAAATAGTAGAAAGAAGTTTTGCCTAGTGTGCCCACATAATGCATTAATCTCCTCCTCCAAAATGATTAATTTGCAAATCAGGAAATTCTTCCCTATATACATTTCCTTCTAGTAGAAAACCAAATTAGAAAATTTATCAATTTATTCCCTTTGTTCTGAGGTGCTGTGAATGTCTGATGTGTAATTCTACAAGAATCCTCTGCTTAAAAATAATTGATCCCACCCCAAATGACCAGAGCAGCTATACTAACATTAGCATTACCTTATGAGGGTGAGGAAAATGTGTCACTTATGGATATTCAGACTATTCTTTCATTTGAAAAAGGGCTTTGTCATAAAAGGTGTCTGAAAGAAGAATTCGCTTTCTTTTTCTCAAGCTCCAAAAAACATATAATTCCACTACTGTGTAATACATATATTCTCATAAACCTCTGCAAAGTACAAAACAGTCTATTGCTTGGTTTTTATTAAGGCTGATTTTCATGCACCAGTAACATTGTTTTTCATGTAATATGCCTCTTTTAAGTGTTTTCTAATTACCAACTTGAATAGTTTGTATTCATCAGCTTCAGTGCTTGTATTAAATCATCAGAGATATTGATGAGCCTGACTGCTGTAAATGATATATGCCCTTATGTTCACCTTCCTTGGGATGGACTAAATATCACCTAAATTCCCAACAAATTACATACCAACTTCTCCAACACTAGAGAAAGAGAAGTCTACCCTGGCTACATGGACACTAAAAAGCTAAAGTTTCAGCTGAGCAATATCCCTTTTCTTTGGCCTGCTTTTTTCAAATGGCACAACTTTAAAAACACACATCACCACATTAAATGTAACTGTGATATTCAAGGCCCAAAGGAGCCTATTCTTTTTTTCCTGTGAGTTTCATAATCTTTTCAGGATGCCTCTGTTCCCTGAAAGAAAATTGCTATAAACCCCAGCTTAATAGGTTGGATTATGTCTTGCCACTCTCATTTTATCTTTCGTGCTTTGCCAAGTCCTTTTCCTTAAATACAAAGATACATCAGTTTAAGTACACTAGATTTTTTTTAATGTGGAATTATAAAAACATTAGGAGAGAATATTTGTATTTCAAAAGGTCTTTTCACTTTATACAAGACTCATAGTAGATTCCATTTAAGTATAAGTTCAATAGTATATGTCACTTAGTAACAATTTAATTTAGTTATAACTTTTTAGGGATAAAACTTTTTGTAAACCTCTGTACTTGGATGACTTCCTTAGAGATTTCAGGTGATTCTAAAGGAAAATTAACTATAAATTGTTATGACTTAATTTTTAACCTTATTACAGTATGATTGTAATAGCAGAGCCCAGTCATCTTTTTACCAGAATGTT